AGATAAAGATCAACAGAAATGTGGAGAACACAAAGATTTGTTTTTTGAAGCAGAGAATGTGACGCTGCTATGTTGAAGTTACAGCAAATGAGTGGAATTTGGGTAAAAAAATAAAAAAAGTACAGCAGTGTTTCTCAAACTATGATACACATCCCACAGGCGGTACTCAGGCTGCCTGTCATGGGACTGCGTTAGTAGAGGTTCACAAAAAGAAGGGCTTTACAACAGTAGTGGCTTCAAACTGGAACTTTCTAGAAGAGAAATGTTATAGTTTGAATCTGTTGATGTTGATGTAGAGCAACGAGCCGTTGGTGTTGAAAGAATCTCTGTTGTAAAAGATGGTGATCGTCAGTGTGGATCGTCCTGTATCTGTAAAAAAAAAACAAAAAAAAAAAAAAAACACATTAGAACTCTGGGCTAGAACAAAGACGACAGAAAGAACTTCTTGTTGTCGTTTGACGTGGAACATTGAAATAAAGCAGGGAACTTAGCGTCAAGCTAATGATGTCATGTTAGCACTACATACAACCTCATCCCTATGATGCTAGTGCTCATCCAGGGTTAGCGTTTAATTGTAGCAATTTGTTAGCTAAGCCTTGTTTACGGTCATATAATTTAGATGTACGGTTTTGGTATTAGCTATGCTCATGCTAGGTTAGCGTTCATGTTTTAGCGTGATGTGTAAGCTAGGCTAAGCTTAAAATATTATTTCTATGTTGATTTATTTTATGAACTGGTACAGTGCTTCTCAAAGTGTGGGGCGTGTCCCAGGTGGTAATGTCCATTTGTACCATGGGCCTCTGGATTACTAGCTAACACAAACTTCCTCTCTCTCTTATCAGTTCGCCACAGAACTGCCACCGCCCTGATTGGTTGACCCCGCGGTGACCCAGCACCATGTCAACAATCAACGTCTCCCTGGACAACCCGTACGGTCAGGTGAATATCCCCAGGGCTAAGCTCCACTCCTCAGACGACACTGTGATAGCCAATCCCATGGCGGTCGGCGGTACAGACGGGAATCCGTACGGTACATCGAGCTTCGCACCGCCGCCGTACGTGGTCAAGGAAGACACGACAGAGGAAGTGGGCGGGTGCCGGGCTTGCT